ATAACTTGGTGATGAGCCCTATGCAATTTTAGCTGATGAGTCTAGTGATATATCACATAAAGAACAACTAGCTCTTTGCTTGTGTTATGTTGATAAATTGGGAAGGCATGTGAGCATTTTATTGGAGTTGTTCATGTAGATGATGCTACCTCTTTATCACTTAAGGATGCAATTGAAGCTTTACTTGTTAGTCATGACTTGACTATGACTCAAATCCGTGGGCAAGGATATGATGGGGCTAGCAACATGAAAGGAGATATTAAAGGGTTGAAAACATTGATCATGTAAGAATCACCTCCTGCTTATTATATTCATTGTTTTGCTCATATACTCCAGTTAGTTCTTGTTGTTGTTGCCAAGGGAAATACTGATTGCAAGACTTTTTTTGATCAAATATCTATCTTGTTGAATATTGTTGGAGTTTCTTGTAAGCGTCATGACATGCTTAGAAATGCTAGGCTTGAGAATGTTAAGAAAGCACTTGATTGTGGTGAAATTGAATCTAGAACCGGATTACATCAAGAGATGGGTTTGCCTAGGCCTCGAGATACTCGATGGGGATCTCATTACAAAACTGTATGCAGCATCATTACTATGTATGAAGCAATCCATGATGTACTGGTTGATCTTGGGGATGATCCTTCATATAAGGATGATTGGACCAAAATACATTTTGTGAGCTGGAGCGTTTGAGACCTTTGAGTTTGTTTTCTTTGCACACTTAATGTACATTATTCTTGGATATACAAATGAGTTATCTAAGTGTTTGCAAAGAAGGGACCAAGATATTCTTAATGCAATATCACTTGTTAATGTGGCAAAGCAAAGAATGCAAGAATTGAGATCATGGTTGGAATAATTTTTTAAGAGGGTCACTTCATTTTGCAATAAACATGGTGTTGAAATTCCTGCTATGGATGGTTGCTATGTTCCTTATGGAAAATCAGTAAGGAAAGCTCGTGCCCGAAAGCAAACCAATGATGGCCACTTCAGAAGAGAAGTATATATTGATGTCATTGATCAAATAAGTCAAGAACTTGATAATCGGTTTGACGAGATTAATATGGAGTTGTTGTCTTGTATGTCGGCCTTCCGTCCTTCCAATTCATTTGCTTCTTTTAATGCACAGAAGCTACGTAGACTAGATGAGTTCCATCCAAAGGAGTTCTCAAATAATAATTTGCTCAAACTTGAATTGCAGCTACAAAATTATATTGATGACATTAGACAGAATGATAGCTTCAAAGGTCTAGACAATATTATTGATCTCTCAGTTAAGCTTGTTGAAACAAAGAGGCACAAAGTGTATGATATGGTTTATGAGCTCATCAAAATTGTATTGCTTCTACCCATGGCAACGGCAAGTGTTGAATGTGTATTTTCTGTGATGGTTTTAGTGAAAACAAAGTTAAGAAATAAGATGAGAGATAGCCTTTTGGATGATTGTCTAGTCACTTTCATTGAGCGGGATATTTTCTTTTGAAGTTGACGAAGATGATATAATCAAGACATTTATGTCCCTTCGAAAACGTCGAATAAAATAGTCAAAAAATAGCATTGTAAGTCACCGGTTCTCTTTTATGCCTATATTTCAATTATCGGCATGTCTTTTGAACTATTTAGACTATATTTAGTGGATGGTTTGAACTTAATCCATGAATTTAAACCTTATTGTGTTATTTAGTGCATATATATCGAATCATGTTGTCAATTTTACAATTATTACCGAATTGCTAAAATAGTTTTACCGAATTGTATATAAACTAGATTCACCACTGAAGAGAAGTAACTAAAGATTGAAAGCACACTTTAGGACTACCTCATTTCAGAGATCAACTCAAATCAGCTCATGCATATAGGTAGAAGGACCAGTAGCTTGATCACTTATTACAAGTAGTTGAATTTTAGGCGCAATGCACGAAATACCAAATCAATGAACTATAAGCAAAGTTATGCTACTGTGCAAAGGAGAGTAGTAAACGAACCCAAACGCAGTACAAAACTATCCTGGTTCTCATCAATTCACACCCCAACCGCTATTTATGCCCACTACAACACCCTAGCAATTTTAGTATGTATTTAGTGAATTGGAATATGTATAAACTACTCCGTACATAATTACCACAGTCCAGTGAATTTTAATTTCAATTTTGAGTACTGCACAACAACTACATTATCAACGTGTTTGGTTTAAGTCACGAAGCAGTCTAGAATCATCCGATCCAAAATCCGAGCCTAGCTGAGACGTTTGGTTTGCGGCATGTCATCCACTCGTCCGTCGTGAAGCTATTCCACATGCGGTGTTTCCGTGAACCAACAGCAGCTAATCTCTCGGACGAGGTTGTTCCGCAAAAAACCGTCGGACGAGCCGGTGCCTGACCAACCCATGCGGAACGGATCCAATCTCCACACCAAACAGGCTGTATATGATCATGGAACAAATCCTGTCAATCAACTACATTATATGATCAAGGAAGAAATACGAACAGCTCGCCGCCTCCGTCTCTTCTTTTGTCAGAGTAGGTAGCGTGCCCGTGCGTTGCTACGGGACAGTTAAACTTTTGTACTAAAAATATACGATCGCACGATAAAATAACAATAGTGTGAAATTAAATATCGACGTTAAAGTGACATTTAATCAAAAAGCAAAGTTCATGAAATTAACTTAGTCACGGAGAGCACGGCGTCATGATAATGCCCGTGCATTGCAACGGGAACGAAATAATATCACGATAATATAAGTTAAACATGAATTGTACTGTTATTCAAAAAATGATACTTGGAGCGTGATGTTTGGAAATTTAATATTACATGAGGCTTCAACAAATTTAATATTAACTTATGTGGAGTTTCAGATACGTCCGTCAACTCTAAGTTGGTTTTCAGATCCATAAATTTTAGATTTAACTTTCAAGAGCATAAACTTTTTAAATGGTTCATTGTAGATCCATACATCTTCGTTTGGCCCTTAGATCTAACGTGGAATGCGGAGTCAGCGGCCAGCATGACATGAAATTTGCCAAGCTCATGTTTATCCCCCGACCATGCTGCCCTCAATTCCATTCTCTCAAGCCTGACATCTATGCATTTGCTCACTCTCTCCTCGAGTGCTCGCCGCTGCCATTAGAGCACCTACTATGCCTTGTGCTTCACCTCTGTCCTAGAAACGAGCTCGTACTGAATCTATCTCTGTCTCCTCTAGCTTCTGCACTCGTTGGGCACAGAAACCGTGTCAGAGCTCCTAGCCCATCCTACTACATCTAAAATAGTCAAGTTTTGAGCTCACGTGCGCCGTAGTTTTGCATCGATGTAGGCCATCACTACTTCAATGAGAGCGCGGTTGAGTCAATCGCAATCCTCTTGTACCCGTGCGCACGCATTTGGGACAAGTCTATACTGGATCCACCATTTTCACCATCGTCTTCCACCTACCAGCCATCGACCGTCGAACGAGCACTCTCATGGCCGACCCACTATTGACCTCCACGAGACAGATTAAAACCATCCTTGTGGTGCAAGGGTGGTAAAGCTCGCGATCCCATCCACTATAGCCAGAGAATGCTCCCTTGGCCAAATTGGCCCCTCCCCACCATACTTGTGCCTATGCTGATTTGGGAAAAAAAGAAGAGGAAGGAGATAACTCGTGGGGAACGCGCGCCACCATGTTTCTGCAGTGCACCCCTATAGCCATATGTCGGAGGTTCATGTCCGTGCATTGCAACAGGTGCAAAAAATTCCAATACAACAAGTCAACAACTAAAACGATAATTGTGATGCAACTCCTATGACATGGATAATTTTATCAAAAGACATTAATGGCCAAAGAACATCAGTATAAAATGTGAATGGCATATTAGGCATTACACAAAATGAGGCATCTTTATATTTCAAAATTTCAAAGTCCAATAATTCATCTTTACAAATAATCCAACATAGGGCCAAATGCAATTTTTGTATAATCTCAACAAATAATCCTGCTATTAGAGCTCTCCACTGGCTTACCATTGTAAGCTCGATCCTAGGATGATTTATTGTGGACTTTTTTTCTCTTTTGAAATCTCTTCTCAGGCAACACTAATAAGCATCTCAAGAAACGATAGCGAGCATTTAGGCTTTCCTAAATCTGCAGAAAAAGGATTTCAGACATCAAAGGCACCAAAGCTCTCAGACATGTTTAGGCCTTATACTTGTATGCAAACAAACAAGATAAAGTATATGTCTACATACTAAAAATAATCGAGCAGATCAAATTGTTCTCTAACAAGCCCATATATCATTCTTCTATTATGAGCATTTGTTATTATGGAATCCTTCCCTTCAAACAACATGTACCTAAGAGCATTTGCTATTATGGCCCTAGGAGCAAAGTTTAAGAAGGCGCTAGGCGCTGATCACTAGCCTAGCGCCTAGGCTAGCCTAGGCCAGCCTAGGCATTTCAAGGCGTTTTCTAGGTGTTTTGCCAATTTAGCGCACAATATATATATATATATATATATATTATATAGCAGAAATGCTGAGTAAATTAGTTAAATAGAAGCATAGAGTAGCTGAATACAGTATATAAAAAAGAGGGCAGTAGACATACCTTAGTGGCTTATTGGCTTAGGCTCAATAATCAATAGACAACTTGTTCCTAGTTCCTACAGCAAGGATTGACAGCTTGTAAATACTCAATAGATAGCAAGCAGTTCATCAAAAAATAGAAAATAGCAAGTTGACACTTATCTGAATGATTTCAGCCATCTCCAATCCATGAACAGACCATATCAGCAGCTAGTAATTACAAATTTTGAAGCACAAATAAGTGGACAGGACAACAGTACAATTGCACAACACAATTCATAAATAAAGGTCTTGTTCAGAGAGCACATAATTCTCACAAAAGAAAAAAAACACAGTCACATAGCAGCAGGTCATAGGTTTAAAACATATATGAATGCATCATAAAAGATAAACCATGATATGATAAAAAGGCCCCACTACCATATCATATTTCTTCTTCAATAGGGTTCCACATAATCATTCTCATCTTCATCAAACTCTTCTTCTTCGGACTCAAACTCTTCTTCTTCATAAAGCTGTCTCGCTCTTGCACTTCTACGCAGCTCAAGTTGTTCTTCTGCTCCCACTGCATTTCCAATAACAAACCAAGGTATCCTTGTACCTTCCATCTCCTCTTCCCCATCGCTATATACAACTAATGCACAATCATCTTCATTCTCATACAGAAAACCTTGAGCTTCAGTTGTATCATTAGACAAGAGAACATCACTGATCTTCTTTGACTTAGATCTTTTCTTTCTTATTAATCAGCTTGGAGTTGAATTGAATATAGACCAATTTGTTGAGACGGGTTGTAGTAAGCCTATTTCTCTTCTTAGTGTGTATCTATAAATTAAAAATAAGAATATTTTTAGGTCTACAATTTAATTGAAATGCTGCTGAAATGTTGACACCAGATAGGTACTAACCCCTTCAAACCCACTCCAATTTCTTTCACAACCAGAAGAGCTTGATGTCAAAGATAGGATCCTTATAGCCATCTTCTGTAAAGCTGGTGTTTCAGTTCCATACAGCCGCCACCATGATGCTGAAATAAATAAAAACACCTCTATTAATTAGTAGTTACAACAAATTTATTGTTAGATGAAAACAGCAAACAATCATGTAATAACAAGTACCTCTACCTGGGTTGTAATCAATGTTTTCAAAAGTCCTTGCAAGCTTCTTGTTAAATGGTCCTTCTCTATTCTGAAACTTTTTCAGTTCAATGTTGGCAGCCTGATCTTGCTTATCTTCATCATGATAATAAAAAGTCTCCACACAACTAATAAATCCTTCTATTATTGTGGGCTCATCAAAGATTGATGGGTTAGCATAACTATAGTGTGGATTCAGCAAATAAGCTATCAAATGCAATGGAGAATCAAGTCTTCCTTTTATCTTCTTGTCAATAACAGCAATTACCTCCTTGAAACGGGACTCTTTATTGCCAAAGGCCTCCTTGATCTCTCTCTTTGCCTTTAGTAGTTCTCCATAAATGAAACCCATGGATGGCTTCACATCCCCATCAACCAAACGAAGAACTTTGACCAATGGCTCAAAAACAGTTAATGTTAGCTTGACATCCTTCCAAAAGGTTGGATTCAATATAATTGTTGTGGCATCTTTTCCTTTCTTTGATTTCACATCCTTCAATGAGTCCCACCTATTATGAACCACCATCTTTCTTAGCTGGTCCTTCTTCTCTTGTATGTTGTTCAAAGTGAGAAAGGTTGAAGCAAACCTAGTCACTCCTGGCCTTATTATCTCTTTCCCCTCTGTGAAGTATCTCATGCATTCCAATGTTCTTGTGTGCTCACAGACAAATATGGTGAATGCCTTTGCTTGGTCAATCACCTTCTTGAACTGAGCCATGTTGCCAATTCCTTGGAGCATCAAATTGATTGTGTGAGTTGCACAAGAGGTCCAAAATATCTATGGTCTCTTCTGAAGCAATAGCTTCTTTGCTCCCATGTTGTTAGAGGCATTGTCTGTCACTACTTGCACCACATTATCTGGACCAATGTCTTCAATTGCTTTGTCCACTAGTTCAAAGATGACTTCACTTGTGTGTGACACATCTGACATCTCTTTTGAGCTGATAAAACTGGTTCCTTCAGCACAATTAATGCACATGTTCATTATGGTTCTCCTCTTCCTATCCGACCAAGCATCAGTCATAATAGAGCATCTTCATCTTCTTGGCTTCACGTTCTTGTAGCAAACTCTTGGTTCTTGCATATTCTTCTTCTAGCAATCTCTCTCGTAGATCATACTAAGTTGGAGGTTCAAGTCCAGCCCCAAATTGTCTAATTGCTTCACACATTTGCTTGAACTCATCATTGTCACATGCATTGAATGGTATTGCTGCCAATGTTACAAAAAAGAAGGTTAATTAGTGTTCAATACAGCCATAATAGCATCTAATGTATTCTGAAATATAAACACAAAATAGAAAATTACCATGTGTATAGACCCATCTTGCAATATATTTATGCACCTCATGTGTTCTTTCTTTCCAAAGTTCCTTGTTCAACTTCTGTTGAGTCAAAGATTCAGATTTGGTTGCTTTAGGATCAATAACATGTGTCCATTTGTCAATAGGTCCTAATTTGTGAGGCTCGAAACTTCCAATACAAGTGACTTCCTCTGACTCTCCACCTCCAACCCGAGAAACATTCACTTCCTCTCTAAGTTCTAGCTCACAAATAGTCTTCTCCCCCCCCTCTTTCTTTTTGCATCATTTAGTGCTTTCTTGCACTTCTCTTTAGCCTCTAGAGCCTCCGGTGTTCTGGCCTTGCATTTGGTCGCATTCTTTCCTTCATGGGCCACATGCTGCTTCAACCGATAAATCCCTCCTTGCATCACCTTGTCATAGAGTTTGCACTTCACCTTGTCCTTGTTGGGAGGATCAACAAGAACCCCATATTCCCATCCGACATCATTCGAATTCCTTTTTAGGACATTCGCTCCCTCAGTTTTAGTTTCAGGTGCAGGTAAAGCTTCTATTGTCGACATCCTACATTCAAGTCAGTGAGCATACATTCACAGATCACAGTTCAGTGAACATTCTGGCAATACCAATACATACATGTAGCAAATTAGCTAAAACATTCAGTAACACATTCTACATTTAGGCATTCAGAGTAACATCCAGGCATTCATGCATTCAGAGTAGGCATTTAGAGCAAAACACAATTAACAACAGGGGAGAGGACTAGATCATAGATTTAGGCAACTAACAATCTAACATTCAGGCAATCACAGATTCACATAATAGAATACTTTAGTAGTATTGCTGACAGCAGGGGAGAGGAGCAGGGGAGGGGAGCAGCCGGCGGGGGAGGGGAGCAGACGATGGGGGAGGGGACTGACCTTGGGGTAGGAGGGGTGCATCGGCGGTGATGACCTTCCAGGCGGGACCGCGTGAGGGGTGCGTCGGCGGGGACGAGCACGACCGATGGGAACTACGGGGAGGAGCAAGGCCGGCGGGAGGGGAGCGCCTGGCGGGAGGAGTGCATCCAGCGGGGAGGGGAAATAGCAGGCGAGAAATCGCACGTCGCTCTTATCCTTCCGCGCGCTCGCAAATTCCAGGCGGGAAATCTTCACGCGCTCACGCCTGCTCGCCCGCGGTGCGACAATTTTGCGTGCGTCGGCCTCCGCACCGCCTAGCGCGCCTCCTCGCTGCCTCCTCACTGCCTAATCGCGCCTAGCACCTATAGGTCCGCCTACCCCCATAGGCCAGGTAGGAACCCGTCGACTAGCGACTAACCACGCCTAGGCGGAGCCAAGGCGTCGCCTTTTTGAACATTGCCTAGGAGACGTGATGAGGACATGACACCCGTGCATATGACCATGTTTGGCGCATGATATGGAGAGGTAGGAGGCCAGCAAGGGTGTCCAAGTCAAGAAGGAGGTCCGAGGCTAATTCACTTCGAGTCCCTGAGGTGGAGGCCCAAAGCAACTCAAATTCAAGTCTGCCTCGGCCTTTAGGACCAGTCTGCCTTAAACTGGTCACCAAGACGCATCCGGACTCCATTTTGATGATGAGGACTTAGACACCCTTATGGCCTCCTACCCCTCCATACCATACGCCAAACATGGTCATATGCATGGGTGTCATGTCCTCATCAAGACGTGTTCCACACACTGCAGAACCCAATCACCAAACTTATCATCGGAACCACAATGTTATATGTATGACGAAATCAACCCCAAAGAGCATTATGAAGCCAAAAATGCACCACACGATCACAATCCATGCTCAAAGTAGTAGGCAGTAGCAGCACATAGTGCCACATTGAAACTTCAGACTCCAAAAGTGTGAACCATTATTTTAGAGTCTTCTTGGTAGCATTTATTTTCAATTTTGCTATTCAAGTAGTAGAGGTAGCAGTAGCATTTATTTTAGTTTTGCTAGAACAAGTTGAGCTAGCAGTAGCTACTGTTTAGTAATTTTGCTATTAAGTGAGTATAGGTTTTAGAGTTTTCATCGAGTAGCAGTATGTTCTGCTTGTGCTATTGTCACATTGCTTCAGTTATCGGCTACAGGCTCAGTTTTCAGAGATTGTAGGATTTGAGCAAGTGTATGTACTACACACTGCTCTGCCAATGTTGCTGAGAAAATAGCTATGTTACAATAAGCAATAAATATTTATTTGATTGTGTTTTATGCATTCGCAACAAAAGAACAAGAAACAAAGAGAGCATTAAGAACAAAATAAAAAATTGTAAGCGTCTTTGTAGCCTGTCTTCCCTTCCCCAATGCAGCACTGAAGTATTTCTGTTCAAGTTTGTAAAGTCAATAAACATTATGTATTTCAAATTCACAAGACTCCTAAAGCGCAATGCTACTTAAAAACAATGCCATCCATACTAAAAATGACCGCGCAATTGATAGAAGACCAAATTCATATAAAAACTAACACAAATAGCCTATGCACTCATGTCGTTACAACTATGAAATACAGTAACTTACATAGGAAACTCCTGAGGGTTCTATCATAATCTCCAACAATAACACCACAACTAAAAAGGCCTGGTACAACAGAAATGAAGTTAGGGTTGACTACAGTAGCCAAAAATGTTTGATGAATACAGATATGCCTCCAGTAATTATGGACCACTACTGCTGAATATATTACCTGAACCACCAGTACAGCATGCAAAGGTGAACATAACTTACCACACGATCTGCCAAGTCTAAATGATCTTGCATAACATGGATCTGCCAATACCTAAATCCTCCTCACGCTACATTAAACCAAATTGGATTGATATCTTGATTTACAAGACCAAACGCTGCACAAGACATATACAACAAATCAAATATTTGATTTCTCCCATAGCCGGTACTAAGGATTTTGCCCTTTGGCATTTCATGACTGACTTCTTCACCGTAGCTTGTAGCTCTGTTGCTCCAATCAAGATCAATTGTTTTGAACATTATATGAAGACATTTGCCCACTGGAGTCATAACCTAAATTGAATAAGATTAAAATATATTGTGTACAACATCATTATAATAGCCTAAATTAAAAAATATTATAGTGATTAGTTAATAACTTGGCCCGTAGTACTAAATATTGTATGAAACCAAAAAAAAATTATAGCTACAAAATACATTTATTTTTGCAAAGGTTGAGTAATCAGTTTTGCAGTGTTTTTTATGCAATCTTATGATATGGAAATTCGCATCAATTCATATTAACTGACCTACTTCCTGATCAGAGTTCAAACCTTCATTCATATCACGATCAATAGAGGTATTTTTACCACAATTGAACAGAACCTGAGCCAAAGCATCAAGACAGTAATAACTATTAAGTTGAAGGTTCAATGCTGACTTTTATCCTCTCATCGCTGCTAAATACATCAAGCTGGTTCAGCAATTCCAACATTGTCCTCTCGCACTTCTCTATCGCCGCTTAACTTCACCGCAGAATGAAACAAAAAAGTATAAATTAATTGACTGCACACAAATAATATATATCCTAATCTGATGCTAATAATCATCCTATATAACATCAATTACCACCCAACATGGAGATACTAAATATGTCTAAAGGAATACATCACCAAAAAGAAAAGAGTGAGTTTGGTGTAGAATCACACCGCATGAATTTCAGAAATCGCAAGTTGTTTATCGTGCCAAACGAAAAAAAGTGAAATGCTAAAATGGTAAGTTTTAGGAGCCCTAGCATTTGTGTGATATTTTAGTATATTTCAAATTAAAATAATGGGATGTTACAAATATTGATTTCATAAATTTAATTACCTATCGGGACAAGTTGTGGACAACCAGTTTCAGAACTGTGGCATTAGTTTGTGGTGGTCCATACAAAAGAACACCTTTGGGGATGAATACCCAATTTCTGAAATCGATCTTTGTGTGTCATTGGCAGCACTATTGCTTCCACAAGCTCTTGAATCTGTGTCACAATAGAACATCATTTTACTGCTTGCAATGTATAAACTCAACCATAGTGTCGCTTTAACAGTCTATGCATCAATTGTACAAAACAAATTAAATGTTTCCCAAATCCTCCAATGTCATTGTAATCCTCTCTAGGTTTCTCATCTACTTCCAATGCCATAACCCGTGAGTCATACTCTGAAGGCAATGTGTAAAGTATCAAGTAGCTGTCTTTGTTAACCCAAGAATTTAAAAATGAATCTGAGTTCTTCATAACTGACAAAATCAACAAACTATAAATGGCATGTGGAAGTAAACATATGCATTGTTGAATTACAATACGTGCAATGCAGAACAAAAATGTAATCCGACTTTAACAATTAGGGATCAGGATACCTTGATTTTTTTTATAAAAAAGCATAGGGCTTAAGTTTGAGGTAATTTCTAAAATTGGAAAGGCACAAAATGAAAACACTATTCA